AAAAATGATCATTCTAGAGTTCTAAAGTTGATTGCTTATTTGCTATAAAAACCAAACCTAAAGTTTGTGTCCAAGTTTTTCAGTATGGTAACGATGAAGTAATTGCGAGAGATGATATCTTTTGACTTAATGAGTTAGTTGATCCATATTGAGTTGCTCTATCAACTGCATAATTTTAGTGTCGCTGAGATTACTTTTATTGATGTTGATGTTAAGGAATTAAATGATATATTAAGAACCAATAAACATATAGAAGTCAATGAAGATAATGAGATTAACGAGCTTCAATTCAATGAAGAACAAGATGATGGAAATGACATGATGAAATTGAAGAAGAAGATGATGAAGAAAATTCTTATTAAAAATATTTTGAATTGATTTTATATGTAAAACATTAATGTGTAATGAAATTGACATTAATATAATTTTTCTATATTGATGGCAAGTCTACTATTATATATGTATTTTTGGATGTGGGCGTAGGATAGATGGAAATTGGTGAAATGCTAATAAAATTAATGATAGATTTAATTCCTTAAAGAGTTTTAGAAAATTAAAAAAAAAATTATAGGACTTTGTCATTGAACATTCGAAGCATCGATGAGATTATCAACGGAACAAGATGTCATAAAAAACTTTTAGAGGGGTTTGAAAAATTTTAGGAGGTTTTCTTTTCCTGCATGATAAAAAAAAATATACAATAATAGATAAAGTTTGAATAATTAATTTTAATGAATAAATTTAAAATTTAGATTTACAAATATTAAGGATGTTTATATGATAATATCACCGATAAAATCTTTGATGGAAGTGTTCTTATTTCAATATAGTTAGGTTTCTAAAGATATTGAATCGAAGCTTATGATTAATGTTTGATTCAAGAAATTTAAGGTTAGTATATATATAAACAATTATTTTTTAAAAATTTAGTTTGGTTAGTTTTTTAATTTTAATAAATTAATATATAAATTTATCAATAGAATTATTGTTAATAAGTTTTTTTTGTTTGGCATGATAATTCTATCAGGAACCTTTCAATAATTATATTATTGATGGAATCAAAATCATTGATAATATGATTTACAAAAATATATTTTCATCCATGTAATTATACTTCTAAAGAAATTAGGCTTTCAACACCAACAGAATATTTCGCAAATATTTTACTATTTTCTGGTGGTATTTAGATACAAAGTTTGACTCGTGCATAAACCATTTTATAGTATAATAATGTTAATGAGAGTAGCTACTTAATTATTTGGTAAGTGGTAATTGGTTTAAAAGTTGCTTTAATAGAAGTGATTTATACTTTCGGTGTTGTGATACTTAAGAGTAGCTTCTAGTGTTTGACTACGTACAGACAGACTGTAAGAATTGGAAAGAAATATAATAAAATGGTTTGGATTCTGCGGCCTAATTGGATGGTCAAAAATTAAAGGATAACAAAAGTTTCAACAATTCTAAAGGACTTCATATTATTCGTTCCGGTATCTCATTCCATCCATATTAAGTATCAACTAGACGATTGGCAGCCCTATGCTGTCGTCGAAGCAAAAATATTTTTAATATAAAAAAATATTCAATTTCTTATTTAAACCAAGTTTAAGTAAATTATATGAAAAAAATTTAATAGATTTAAGAAGTTCAAAAACAAAATTAAAAAATTAAAAAAAACTAGAAAAATATCCAGACACATGTAAAAAAAACTATTTAAATCATTAATAAAAATATAATTTGATTTTAACATATATTATAATATAATATTTTTTTAATATTAAAATGAAGATATATAAATTGACTCAAGTACCTGAGTTATGTACTCTATTGTTATGTTTAATAAAAAAATTATTTTAATTATTTAATAAAAATATAAAAATTATTTTAAAATTCATTAAATATTAAATAATAAAATTTAAAAATTTAAACAAATTTAATTTGAATAATAAAATTTTAAAAAATAAAAAATAAAAACAAAAAAATTAGGCAAAACATATGAGTTTACATGCCCCAAAACTATTAGGTCAAAAAAAAAATTCAAGTGTTTGGACATGAGGTAGGGCCCATGTCAGGGCCATACCTTTCCTTCTATTTTTGTCTAGCCTTTACTTAAAAAAACAAATATTGTGTTATGTATTGGAGCCAACCTATAATATAGTTATTGCGGTGGTGTTTGAAAAAATAAGGAGGTTTTATGATTTAAAATTTTAATTTTCAATTTATTTTTATTGAGAAACAACTAATAAACAATATAAAAACCTTCATAAATTATATAATAACATCAAAATCACCCTAATAAATAAAAATTAACCGAATGAAAAAAATTATAAACCATATTGATTTATTTTTTTAAGTAAGATAAAAGTTTAAAATCATTAAACTCAATCTTCATTATTGAATGAATTGTTGATACTGAGAATTATGAGTTTTTTTTATCAAAAATTGGTGTAATCAAGAACCTTTTTTCTTCTAATTATTTTCTAGTAGGTTTCTCTTTGTTTTTTTAACAACAAAATCAAAAAATATATTTTAGGATTGAAATAAAAATTGTAATGAATTTGAGATTAGCTATGTATTCTACATTTTAATTATATATCTTTTAATTTTTTATTTTTATAATAATTTAAAGTGTAATTTTATCTAATTTGGTTCTAAAATGATTAAATTGAAAGAACAAAATTTTTTTTTAAAAAAATGTTAACTTTATTGTTTATATAAATAATGATGTATGTATTTTACGCCAATTTTTTTTAGTAAATAGCTACGTGGAGATATTAAATCCTTTTTGTTTTCCTAATTATCTAAAATTGGCAGAGGGCCTCAGGCAACCTAGGTGTAGTCAGCCCCTGTATTTCAAAAAGAAAAACAAAAATAAATTAAGTTCCCCAGCATATAATTTCAAAATGGCCTCCTTTCGTTCCATAATATATTCTCTCTACACAAAGCCCATAGCTTTTTGCAAAATTTTCACTCTTTTGATGCTGAGAGAAAGAAAAACAAAATCAGCTTTTTAGGTCAAGTGTCGAATTAAAATCTTTAAAGGACTTCAATATTAGACTCGATGAACATACTATCAAAAGGCCTTAATTTATTCAAAGTATGCGACTCGTGCGTTCGTGACAGCCCACGTACCAAAATCATGGAATACAGAGATTACATGGTTATTGGGATATATAATAGACAACCAATCGAGTGTTATAAATACCTAATATATTCTCCTTTACTTTGCCTTTAATGGGCTGTAAAAGTTGATATACAAATATAGGATCAAGAGAGAGATCAATCCATTATTATAAATTTGATTTCAAACTTAATTTCATTTGTTGACATTTTGAGTGTTCCTCAGTAATTCCATACTAGTTATTGCATGATTAGCATATTTACGTAGTATAAGATGTTTTCGAAAATTATTTTTATTAGAATATTTATAAAAAAATATGATATTTTTTTAGTTTTTGATATCAATATATTATATTAATAAAAATATTAAAAAACAAACTTTTAAAGTGTATATAAATGCTACTGAAAACACTATATAATAAAATACATTATAGCACAATTAAATAGCACAATTAAATAGCACAATTAAAACAGGTCCTTGTGTGTTTCAGTTAATAGTTTTTTTATGTTTTAACTGCAAATTACGTATTGAATTTTTTTTGTTGATATTTTTTTATTGGTTTGGATTTTTTTAGTTGATTTTTTTTTAATTGGAATTTCTTAATTAACTGCTATGATATTTTTAATTTTTTTATATAAATATATTTTTATATTTTTTATGAATAGAATCACGTTTCTTTTTACTTATGATTTTGAATATGTGTATGTATATCAGCTTTTTGACCTCTTTTTCATTTAGATCTATCTCATATATATATATATATATATATAAAACAGGATTTAATTCGTTTTGACCATCATAGCAGAAGGCACATCCATCAAGAAATATTTATGTAGCAAATATAATGAGACTACACACTTTTTATTATTGAATTGAAAGCGTGAATTAAATTCAAGCTCCGAGCTTCAATTTGACTCGAAACAGTCAAAGATCAAATTATACAATGTGTTTGAAATGTTTTTCAAATTTCATCCTCGTTATAAATGCCATCACGTGCTTAAGTTGTGCTCCATGACCTTTTTTAAGAAGCCCATTTTGGTAAATGGACTAAGAGCCTGTGACTAGACAAGCCACCAAATTACGAGGTTTTATCTCTTGCAGGTTGTCAGAAGACATTGATTGCTTTGTGATTGGCAGACAGCTTATCTTTTTTTGTTCATATTATGTCAAGTGATTTTAATAATTCATTCCTAGGCTAGAATGAAGTGGGCAAGTGTTTGTTATATAGTTTTTATTTTTTCGTGAGCTATAATGCCATTTGGACCGATAGAATCAACTCGGGCATGATGCATGTGTTTTCTCTCGCAAGGCCCCTCCTTTTTTTTTTTTTTATTTTTATTTATTTTATTATGATTTGATGAACACGAATATAAAACTTAAATAAAACTCACTTATTTAGTCGTGGTGCGTGTAAACTGGTCCGGATATCCATGTTAATCTAAAAAAAAAGGTTAATGTTTTACCCTTGGGAAAGATGAAATCGCTATTCCGAATGTGATACATATAATGGGGCCACCTTACAGTTTGATTGTTGGTAATTAGTTATGCCAGGTTGGTTTTTATATTTTAAAATAGTTTTTGAAAAAAATTAATTTTTATTAATATTTTTAAATTATCTTGGTATGTTTTTATTAAAAATAATTATATATATATATCATTTAATATATTTTAAAATAAAAAATATTTTAAAAAACAACCATACAACTATTTTAAAACTTGCCATATTAGTTGAATTCAGCAGGTTACTATTTCATAATCAAAAGAGCAAAACAACTTTGATCCATTTTCATGTGTGAAAGCAATTAGCATTTGAATTAGCGAAAATTCTTAACTCATATGAAAAAGGAAAATATAAAAAGGGCAACAACACAAGGATATTATACATTGAAGTGAAGAGGAAATGTTTCTTAACTCATATGAAACATCCTCTTTGGTTTTTCGATTTTATGGCCAACCTTACAACAGTAATGTCCAGACATAAAACTAAACAAAAGTAAAACATTCGCTCTACCTTTGAGTCACTCCAATCCTCATGAGAGCAAGATACGCGATTAGGCGATAACCCACAAGCATAATCCCTAATGCTACGACACCAAGAACTTGGCCATCAAGCCCCACTTTTTTAATTGCAGGATAATCTCCGACTAAACAAACTCCTCCGGCACCAACACATGTATAGGTGTCACCAGGCTTGTATTGGGACCCCAGCAACAGCTTGTATGTGTATTGACTAATGGAGATGTACTTTACCCAGCTAATGAAGGCAGGGACATGTGTAACATAGTATCCACCAGCGAGCAGGAACGATAGCATGATTACTGATCCCGTTATGGTAGCAGATCTTCGGTTCAACACCAGAGCACCAATAGCTAGTCCGAGACCTCCTGCTACTAACACAGAATACAAGAGAACAGACAATGTGAGAAAGAAGTTTCCAGGACTGCCTTTCAGCCCTGCCATCCAGTAGGTTATAGTTACAAATATAGTAGGAAGGACTAGCTCCATTGGGAGGTCACTGACAATCCTTGACATGAAGTATGATGAGAGTCGATACATGCCGGAAGATCGCTCCTTTTCGAGCATTCGGCGTTCTTGGGGGAAAGTGAAAATAGCTTGGAATAAAGGGAAGATGCCCCAAAATCCTGAGTAAAAGAAGAGAAGCCCCATCTGCATTGTATTCAAAGTTAAGATTATAGATACAGTTTAAAAAGTTTAAAAACTAACCTTTCAGTTGACGAACTTGCTTTCAGAAAATGATGAATTGTTGCGAAATGTTACCTGATCTTGTATATGGGATACATCAGATTGCCACCACAGGAGCCCTGAGAGGAAGGCTACTACCAAGACCTGGCCTATCTTGAGGCCAGAGAAGGAGTTATGCTTCCTTTCTTTCATTCCTCTAATCAACAATACAGAGAACTCTTGCCACCAGGTTGTAGCCCACCGTGAGACTTGCTTATCATTTAATCCATCTTGAGACGGGTCATCAATTTCATGAGCCTCTGACTTCAACTTGTTTGCAAGATTGCTCTTGTAGGCTGAAACTAGATTCTGCTTAACAGTGCCAGGAACCTCACTATTTGATGACACACCTGCAACATATGCTGCACAGGAACACAAGGTCCTCATTGATCGTTTTACTGATTTGTAATAATTAGCTATTCAGGTCAGTCTAAGAGCAATGCCAAAATAGAATTAAGCATTCTTCTAGTCTGACAGAAAAGCTCCATTGAAGTTTGAATGCTTGTGCTTGTAATTCGTATGATGATCAATTATTCAATTTCTAATGTTTAAAGTCTACTCTTTTTGTATTATGGAATGTGTGCTAGAATAGAAAATATTATATTATTAATATATTGATTTATTGTGTGTAGCATCTTCTAATCTGACAGAAAAGCTCCTTCAATGTCAGCTCTTCTTCTCGCAACACCAATGTCAGTGCATCTTCTCTCAATATCAATGCAGTTATGCTTCCTTCGTTGTGAAATCAACTGTTATTTTCCTTTCAAACATATAGCAAGTCATCAACCTAAAACTCACCAATTTCAATTATTTATTTTAGCATATGTAGATGAAGTCATATTTGACTGACCAAGGGGTTTTCTTGTTTGTCGACGACTCGTATTCACGCCCCTCTCCGCTTAATCTGTCTAGTAACTCTTCTGCTACCTTTGCCGGCCTTAGTTCTAGTCTTTTTTAAGTGTTTCTAACATAGAAACAACAAGAACAACTCATCCTCAATGTTGTACTCTCGTCCCTCTCCATTTATGTTCTTCATTTTATGGTAGACCGCTCAATTTTAGCAAGTGTTTGGAGCACTTTAGAATGTGCTCTGGACTCTTCATCTAACTCTAGGATTATACAATTACATGACTTCAGGACTTTTATAAGGTGATGATATTGTCACTTTCTACCTGCAAAAAGCTAAAAGATTATTTAACGAACTAGTCGTAATGGATAGACCAATCTCCCTCACTAATTTCAACTTCACTCTTCACCTGCAAAAAGCTAAAGGATTATTTGATGAACTAGATGCAATGGGTAGACTGATCCCCCCCACTACTTTCAACTTTTATTTTCTTTTCAGGACCTTTATGGTGAATTTTGAGATTTGGTTACAAGTTTGATGATAAAAACTGAGCCTCTTGCATACTCTAAGTTTTATAGTTACTTGTCTACACATGAGTTTTTACATGGAAGCTGTTTTCAATCCATTCTGACTACTACACTACTGCCTACCCCTTCATTCCCTCCTTTTACCTATGTTACACATCGTAACTTTGTTGGAATTAATAGTAGTGACTCATCTTCTCAATGGGGTAGAGGAAGAAGAGAAGGTTGGAGGGGACACTCCCGTAACAACTACAAATAGTATAATAGGCAATCCTACCATGGTAACAGAAGGGTCTTTTTGATAAAACACCTGTAAATATGATAGCAACTGGTAACAATAGAAGCAGACAGGGCAAAAACCAGCAACCATAAAAAATTAGATGCCAACTTTGTAGTACCATTGGAAACTTTGCACAACAATGTTAGCTTGTACATTATAAGAATCAAGCCTCAACCAACCTCTTCTTTAAGGATGCTTTAACAACAAATTTTATCACTTGGTTCCCAACACAGGTATGAATTAATATATTACTCTAGATATTAATAATATACAATATGTAGAACCTCATCTTGAAAATGATCAATTATATATTGGTGATAATAAAAAATTTATTTTTATCTAATACAGTTTATAGTATTTTGCATGCTCTAAAATGAACCTTTACTCTATCTAATATTCTATATGTTTCGTAAATTAAGAAAAGACTTTTATTTGTTCAACAATTTCATCATGAAAATTATATCTCTTTTTAGATTCACTTTTTTTTTTCTATGTTAAGAATCTCATAACTAAGGTAGTTCTTTTTTCCAGTCAAAGTACAAATGCCTTTATATCGATTTAAAGTCCTCTTTATGTGTATAACACAAGCCTTTCTGTTCACTTATACTGATGTTTAGTATTATCGACTCAGTCACCCAAACTCTTATAGTCAAATTTAATGTATTCAATGTGTTTCATTAATTTCAAGTCTTGTTTAAACGACAGTTCTCTTAGAAAATCAAATCTGTTCAAACTAACATGGATGATGAATATCATAAATTAAATTTATTTTTTAAAACCATTAGTATTCATCACTACCTAATATGCCCACATACACATGAATATAATAGCACTGTTAAGCGTCGTCGTCATCATATTATTAAAACTAGTCTTACTTTTCTTGGTCATTATAAGACACCTTTAAAATTTTAAACTTATGGTTTTGAAATCTTTGGTTACCTTATTAATCATATGCACACACCTGTTTTGCGAAATAAATCTCTTTTTGAATGTTTGCTTTGTCATCTATTCAATTATATCTTCTTATGTACTTTTAATGTCTATGTTTTCCCTTCCTTTAACCTTATAATGCTCATAAGTTAGACTATTTCTTTACTTCACATGTGTTTTTAGACTATAGTTCATCTCATCTAGGATATCATTGTCTTGATTTATTGTTTAATCGTATCTACATCTCTTGTCATGTTCGATTTCATGAACAAGTTTTTACGTTTCTTGAGTCTGCCAATTTCCTTGCATCTACCAGCCATAGCCATTTTCTTCTGACTATTGGTTTTTAAGCTTCCATGATTTATACCTTTTTATTTATTTTGACTATAAATTATGATGTTTATTATATGTTTCTCTATGTTGATAACATCTTACTTACTAGTAACAACTTTACATTAATTTATCGCTTTATTACCTTATTAAGTTCAAAATTTAAGCTTTGTGACAATACCCATTATTTCTAGGCATTGAGGTTACTCCTACTAGTATAGGACTCATGCTAAGTCAGCACGAGTATGTTCTTGATATTCTCTGTCATGCTAGTATGTCAACATGTAAACCTATTGATACACATGCCTCTGTTTCCAAGATTAACTTATTGTGTGTTATTTTCAGATCTTATTTGCTTTTGATAAATTATCGGTGCTCTTCAATATCTTACATGTACTAGACTGTACATTTGTTATGTTGTAAAAAAAGTCTATTAGTTTATGTATGCTTCTACTATGAGCCAATGGGTTGCTATTAAATGTATCCTACACTTTTTTAAAGGTATGTCCTCTTTTGGTCTCCACCTTACTTGAGGCTCATCTTTATCACGTCATGGTTACATTAATGGTAATTGGGTAAGGAGTATTGATGATCAAAAATCTACTAATGGATATATTATTATTTTTTTACCACCCCTATTTCACAGAAATCTAGGAAGCAATGCATTGTTGCTCATTCCTTCACTAAAGTAGAGTATAAGGCTTTGGCTGATGGTATTGCTAAGGTTCTTTGGCTCCACTATCTTCTGTGAGATTTGTGTTTTTCTTCTAATTTTGTTATTCTTATCTTATGTAATAATTTAGGTGCTACTTATTTATCTTCTAATTTGATTTTTCATGCTCGAACAAAATATGTTGAAGTAAACTATTGTTTTGTTTGTGATTGTATGGCTAAAAAGAAGATTAAAATTTGCTTTATTTCCTTTAAAGAACAATTAATAAATGTTCTTACAAAGCCACTCTCTCACTCTACCTTTGTTTTTTTTGCACTCCAAACTTCAAGTGGATAACTCACCTTTAGCTTGAAGGGATATATTATGGAATGTATACTAGAACAAAAAAAATTATATTATTAATATATTGACTTATCATGTGTAGTATCCTATATCATAACAAATATACCATTGCCCTAATGATATAAATAGTAGAGATGGCTACCTAATTCAATAAACTTCTTAATTATTACAAATCTTATTTTATCTTGATTTCTCAATTTGTTTTTTTAAGCTATCTTAAAGCTCTTATTTTAATTTTAATTTTAATTTGATATAAAGAAATTATTTTTAATTTAATTGGGAAAGGTGTTGATATAAAAGGACTAACAAAATAGAATCGGTCTGAAAAATTAATAATGTTTTCAGCAATTGAAATTAACTCTACAAAATGTTATGTGTGGACACAATATGGTTGGTGGCAGCCATGTTTGACATAAGGAGAGTCAATGGTGGGTGCCTAATCAAAGAAAAAGATGCCCACCATAATTGACCAACGGAAGAAGATTGTCTCCCATATCAGCTATAAATAGAGGGTGCCATTGATAGGTGAGATACGAGATAGAGAGAAACACAGAGAGAGCCAGAGTGAGAATTGAGTTGAGTAGAGAAGTTTTTCTCCTCCTCCTTGTTTTGTTCTTTGTATTACTTTTAAGCTTGATTAATACAAACCAGTAGCTCCATGGAGTAGGCAAGTTGCTGAACCATATAAATTGATGTGTGTTTGAATGCTTGAATGTCCTAACAACTAGTATCAAAGCTTGTTCTTGAAAAAGACGTGTTTGATCCAAACTCAAAAATCAAAGTTCTTAAAACGTGTTTTTTGAACATACCATAGTGAAGAGGAAGACGAGATGAATCCACTGGTAAAAACCCAATGAAAAACCAGGTCTTCAAGGACTATAAATCCTCCACAACAGTTGACACTTCTACTGAATTATATTTTGCTGATAGATGGTGGTGAACCATTAACTTATGAAGAATCCTTATAAGATGGAAACTTGAGCAAGTCGGAGTTAGCCATGAAGGACGAGATGGAGTCATTGTTAGAGAACAAGACTTGGGAGTTAACCACAATACGTGAAGGAAAGAAGGCTTTGCAAAACAAGTGGGTTTATAGAGTAAAGACTAAGCATGATGGAAGCAAACGATTTAAGGCAAGACTTGTTGTAAAAGGGTTTTAGCAAAAGAAAGGGATTGACTACTCCGAGATATTTTCTCTAGTTGTGAAGCTTATAACAATCAGAGTTGTTTTGGGGATAGTAGCTATAGAGAATTTACATCTTCAATAATTAGATGTAAAAACAACATTTCTTCATGGTGAATTGGAGGAAGACATTTACATGCAACAACTAGAGGGGTTTGCAATACCAAGAAAGGAGAGTCAAGTTTGCAAGTTAAAGAAGAGCCTATATGGTCTGAAGCAAGCTCCAAGACAGTGGTACAAGAAGTTTGACAACTTCATGTGTAGTTCAAGATACACAAAATGACAAGCTGGTCATTATTGCTATGTCAAACATTTTGACAACTCCTATATCATTCTATTGTTATATGCGGATGATATGTTGATTGCAGGATCCAACATGGAAGAGGTTGACAAGCTAAATCAATAATTGTCAAAATAGTTTGAAATGAAGGATCTGGAAGCTGTTAAACAAATACTTGGAATGAGAATCATCAGAGACAACGACAAAGACATATTAAAGCTTTCATAGACAGAGTATGTCAAGAAGGTTCTCAGCAGGTTTAGTATGGATAATGCTAAGTAATATGTACACCTCTGCGAAATCATTTCAAGCTCAGCAGAGACCAGTCACCAAATACTGAGCAAGAATGTAGATACATGGATAAGATTTCATACGCCTCAGCTATCAGCTCTTTGATGTATGTTGTCGCTACACGAAGGTGGG